TTTACTCATCTCGGTGAACACGCTCGTGCTTCCCCCCTTCAGCCGGGCAATTAGGCAATGTCGTTAGCCCTGATACAATCTGAACTCCTTCTGTCTGTCGGTCTGTCGCTCCGTGGTCGTCGATCCCATAAAACCAAGAGTACAACTTCAATAACACAACAAGTCAGAGTGCAAGTACACTCTTTAGAGAATGTTCGACTAGCAGATACCCTGTAAGCAGCTCTAACTTGCTTTCTATCGGGTTACTTTTTCCCTGAGCCTGACATTTGAAGGTAATGAAGATCCTTCTCTTATTTCCATTAGTTTTATTTCTTCGTAATGATATTTTTAGGGCATTAAGCAGGCATTCAAGCCTTTGAAAGAGTCTTGATAGCTTCATTTATGAACTTTCTTACTATTTTATATATATGTTAATAATATTATAACCATGATCTTCGGCTAAGACAAGCCTACATTCACATACGTTCAAGTCTTGGACTCGAATCGATATATTTCAAGGGTCACTTTTAGACAGAGCAACCCACTCTGGGAAAGGGTATAGGTTATCCATTGATAGCGCTCGCTTGATGAATTTGTCGTAGAGTTATTTCTACCAAGAAGTTTGGCTGTTGCATAAACAAGCCCGCCTACGCGCAACACGTGCAACAACAACAACAATAACAAGCAGAACAAAAACAACTGCAAATCGAAGTGTCAGTCGGTGCAAACGCCTCATCCTCAATCCCATTCCCAGTCCCATTCCCATTCTCAATCGCATGCTGACGCTCCTTTTATGGCTGGCGCACATGTGTGCAACAGACGCAGCAGCCGCAGCGGGGCAAGCGGCAAGCGGGGCAAGGGGCAAGCGGGGCAAGTGAACGATGAGACAAGAAGACACGCTAAAAACGCTAAAGCAAAGTGCATGCAAATGGGCCAAAACGCTCGACTCTCGGCCAGGGCAGGCGCGGGCGCAGAGGCCGAGAAAAATGAGGAAAATGCATTTTACAATTTTCCAATTTGTAGAATAAGTGAACAGTTTTTCAGGCGTCGCAAGTGCATTTTGTTTATACTTTAATCTGTCCGATCGGACGCTGCGTTCTGGCCAGTTCTGGTTGTTGTTGCAGCAACATTTGCCATTAAATGCACTCTCAATGGCCGCTTAAGAATGCAGGCCCCAAATATGTTTAAGCAAATATCGCTGAAAATAATCAAAAGTCTTTTTTGTTTAGATTACCCGACGACAGTCGACAGGTTAAAAGATTGCGCATACGCCGCTTGTGACCGCGTCTAATTGACCTTAGTCCTGGCCCAGTGAGTAATAAATGGATAAATAGAATACATATTTCTGTGTAATAAATAGTTAAATAGAATAATTGAATCTGTTTATTAGTCAATGCTCCTGGCCGAACGGGGCGGCCTCTTGAAAGGCCTGCGCTCAAGTAGCTGCCGCTGACAATGTCATAAAAAAAAGGCGCTGCCTAAACAAATCCTTTAACAGCGCTCAACATAAACAAATTAGTAGCAGGCAGCAGGCAGAAGACGGACGTGCGGGGGGTTGAATGCAGCCTCTGAAAACTAAAGTCATGCAACTGGCATGCCACATGCAGCGTAACCCTGCAACATGCCCGACTACCTAGCACATGCCTAGCTAATATCAAAATTCCAGAGCATGGAGTAGAGCAAAGTAATAGAAAAAGTAAGTAGTAGAAAAAGTAACAGAAAAAGGAATAGAAAGAGTAGTAGAAATGTAGTAGAAAGGGTACTAGAAAACTTAATAGAAAAAGTAGTAGAAAAAGTAGTAGAAAAAGTAGTAGAAAATGTAATAGAAAAAGTAGTAGAAAAAGTAATAGAAAAAGTAGTAGAAAAAGTAGTAGAAAAAGTAATGGAAAAAATAGTAGAAAAAGAAGTAGAAAAGATAATAGAAAAACTAATAGAAAAAGTAGTAGAAAAGTAGTAGAAAAAGTAATAGAAAAAGTAGTAGAAAAAGTAGTAGAAGAAGAGAATATCAGAATCTTATTTATTTAAGATGCTGGCTTCTGCAATTTACAACACATTTATTATATATTTTATACCCATTAAAATTGGGTTTAAGGGGTTTATATGTTTGTGCAAAAGAATGTAACGGACAGAAGAAAGCATCTCTAAAACCGAAAAGTATACATATTCATCAATCTGCCTGAACACGATAATCTCGAAAAATACAAAAGCTAGAGACTTGAAATTTTAAATATATATTCTTCTCTATGAATTCCAGCACGAGCTAATTAACTGTTTCGATAGCTCCGCTCATTTTTGTAAAATCGATAAATATCGATTTTTAAAGTAAGTAAAAGCTGGTATTCTGGTTTTCGTATAGTATTATAGATTAAAATATTTACACTTTTAAAAAGTTTCTGCCAATTTCCCGAAATAATTGTAAATCCTTGAGATCTAGTATATACAAACTTTTATTAGAAGAATGCATTTCCTATAGAACATCGCCTCGTGTTGGTATGAAAAAAGTTAACTTTTTGCGAATCACTTTTTTAGAAGGCTCTGTTAAATACAAACTTTTGTTAGATCGAACTATAACGAACGAATTTAATCAAAAATGCATTTCCCAAACATAGTGTAGGGATGAGTATCTCCTAATATGTAGGTTTGTGTGGGTATTCATCCAAAATTGGGAATTAATTCTTTAAGTTACATCCTTGGCTCTGGTAATTAGATCGGACTTTAAAGACCGAAGATCAGCAAGCGTGCAATTCCCATACAGAGCAAAGGAAAGGAGAAGCTTGACTGCTTTGCAGCTTGTTGTTTAATTTAGAGCATCTGCTAGTCGGACATACTCGGACTAGTTTTGTTGGTTTTCATCATTTCTGGAGCACTTCCTGTGCTGGCGCGAAAACTGAATGAATTGTGGCAACAGGGTCGAGTCGGGCGCCCCGCTGCGATGTATTTGGGCGCATAGACACTCGGCATAGACGCCGCCACACTTATTGACACAAGTAATTACAAATGTCAATTGATTTTTAGTGTCCCAAATTTGTCAGCTCTTGCCCGGCTCGGGCTTTTAGCTAGAAAATTGCGGCCAGACATGCCCGAGGAGGAGATGGGCCAGAGATCCAAAGAGATTCAAAGATCGAGACTTGTTTACACAGTTGCTCCACTTGGACAAACAGAGAAGAGGGAGGCAGCGGGAAAGGGGTGATAGGGGAAAATTGGAAAATTCGAAAACTCGATAGACAATTTGTAATTCGAGCCAAATTGTAGCTAGCGCCGGCTAGATAGAGGCTACCGTCTGAAGTGCTTGCGATCATGCAATTGTTGACCTTCTCGCACATTTTGTCCATTTGTTTGTTTGTAAATAAACACTTGAGCCATGTCCTTGTTGTCGTCAGCCACCAGCTGTGCGCGTAAGGACCTGGAACAAGTCCTGTCCAGCTCGGGCCCGACGATCTGTGCAAAAGTCGAGCGACATTTGTGGGTCAGAGACTGGGCCAGAGTCTGCGCCTGACACATTGAAGCACTTCTATGCCGACATTGAGTGCCCGTCCTCATCATCATCATCATCATCAGCATCATCATCATCGTCATTTATATTCGTTTATGTTTTTTTTGATTTTCGCAAGATTCAGCCCACACGCATGGCCCACTTCAGCGGAACGGATCTTGAGGCACTTTCCGCTCGATCTGCCTGTCATTTGTGAAGTTGAGTTTGAAAAGCCAAACGCAGCTCAATCGGGAAATGAGGTCAAACAATATTAAACCAGTTTAAGTTAATTGATTGTGGTGCACATAAATTTTATTAATTTTTTTAATTTTATAGTTTAATAGAGCCTAAACATATCCAGATCTGAGAACACGAAGAAACAACAAAAACATGTTGTTAATTTAATTTAATACGATTGAAATATTGTCATTAATTCAAGGTTCAAATCAATGCAAACTCGTGCTTTACTTATTTCCAGCTTTTTTCTTCTTATTAAGATTACGACATATTCTATCAGGCATTCTTAGGTTTTGTTTCAATATTTTGTAAAAGTCGCAAATGAGAAATTCGTATTTCGTTAAAAAATGTTTAGGCTCATTTAAGAAACTTTTTGGAAAATAATTTTTTGAATTAAATTTTAGTCTGATTTTTTCTTTCTGTGTAATTATTGAAAATTTGCTGACAGAAATGTTTATATTAAAATTACATTATATGATTAAATATTTAATAAGAATATATATTAAATTGAACCATAATTATAGGATCATATACAAGCGCAGTAAAGATAAATAATGATGAACTTGAATCAAAACAAACATTGTGAAAATCCGACCAAGGTCAAAAGTTCTTCGAAGTAAGATGAATACAAATTTCGTAATTAAATGGAGACTTGATAATTTACTTCAATCAAGATAAATAAACTTGAATAGTTTAACGAAAATTGTTTTTCTAGTTTTTTAGAAATATTTGTTCTTTATTTTAAGTCATGCGAAAGAAATGTCAAGGCCCAAGAATTAAATTACTTAAATTAATATTTAAAAATTTAAGTTAATTAAAAATCACCTTGAAATAGAATTTAATTATTTTATTTATTTAAGTTCGTATTCAAAATAAATTGTAAATTTAAGTTTTCTTTATATTAAGTCAAGCAAATTAAATGTTTAGGCCCAGTTCAGTCTCTAAACAAGATTTAATTTGCTTGAAACAATATTTAAAAATTTTAATTCATTGAAAATCACTTTGAAATAGAATTTAATTACTTTATTTATTTAAGTTCGTATTTAAAATAAATTTTAAATTCAAGTTTTCTTTATATTCAGTCTCTAAACAAGAATTAAATTACTTGAAATAATATTTAAAAACTTAAATTAATTGAAAATCACTTTGAAATTGTTTTTAATTATTTTATTTATTTAAGTAAAGAGTTTAACATACAAATATTTACATATAACTAGAACTTAAAGCTACTAAAGCTATCAGCCAGAGACTTGCTTCAACTTTCTCCGCCTCCCAATCTCCCCCCTCCCCCCCTCTCTCTCTCTCTCTCGCTCTCACCCTCTCTCCAACTGGGCCAGCCTCCTCCTGGGCTATACGTAAAGATCGATTGCTATCACAAGGCCGAGAATATGTTCGCGTCTAATCGATTTCCACATTCTCCTCGCAATCCTCCGCCGCAGAATGATTGCTCTCCGCGCCGCTCTCCAGGCACAAGACCTGCGCCTGGCTGGGACTGGGGCAGGGACTGCGCTGTTGTCGCGCCGACGGCGACGAGGAGGCCGACGAGCCGGTCACAAAGCTGGCGGAGAGCGCCGCGCTCTGCTGGCTGGGCGGCGGGATGGGCTGCGGCACCTTCGGATGCGGATAGAAGTACGGGAAATGGACCTGGGGCAGCGGCAGCCCGCCGTAGGCCAGCTGCAGCTGATGCCTGTAGATATTAAGCAGGGCCGGATCCAGGCCGTGCGGATAAGCTCCGACGGCGGCTGCTCCGCCGGGCGTCATATGGGCGTAGGCGGTGCTGCCATCCTCGCGGACGAGCACCTGGACGGGCACACGCTTCGTGGCGCTGAGCAGCGCCGCCTCGTGCTGCTGGATTTGCTTGCGCTTGGTCTTGTACCGTCGATTCTGGAACCAGATCTTCACCTGCGTCTCCGTCAGCCGCAGCGTCTTGGCCATTTCGCTGCGCTCCGGCCCGGACAGATACCGCTGCTGGGCAAAGCGGCGTTCCAGCTCAAAAACCTGGGCGTGGCTGAAGGCGGCACGGGAACGCTTCTTGCGGCTGAGCGGGCCGCCGCCAGCCAGGCTGTCCTCGTGGCCGAGCGGCGACCCGCCACGCCCATAGCCCATAGAGGCGGGCGAGCTGCTCAAAGGCGGCGGCGAATCGCAGTCTATTAAAAAAACGAAAATTGGCCCGAAAAGTTAGCACAACAAAGGACAACAAAGGACAACAAAGGCGTGCTAATGGCGTGCATTAGTCCGGGTTGGAACTTACCGGAGTCGTTGCTGGTGCAGCGTCGCATGTCTAGCGGAACGGCTGCCGCGGACAAAGCGGCGCCAAAGTAGCCCAATTTGCGCTGCACGTAATCGGCGGGCGCGACGGCGGCGGAGGAGGAGGAACCGGAGCCGGAGCTGGAGCTGGCCAATTGCTGATTGTTGTTATCCAGCGCCGCGGCGGCGGCATAATACTGCAAATAGCTGGAATGCTGGCCCGGCTGTGCCGCACGCTCCGCCAGCTTGTACAGGCTGAGATCGCGACAACATGGCTCCACATCGCCGCCGACGCCGCCGCCGCCGTGCTCCGTTTCGGTGGAGGGGGCGACACCGGGCGTCTTGTTGCGCGTCAGTATATCATTGATGGAGAAGGGCGTGGTGAGGCTTTTGCTTAAGGCCGCAATCGAGGCGCCGGCACTCGCACTTTCCATATTTAACATGCTTCTTTTTTAAATCTATTTAATTTTTTTGAAATTAATTTTTCGGCTTGCTCGCGTCTCAACGGTTGACTAACGAATGCGCTCTGCTGTCGCGCTCCGTGCGCTCTTTAAATAAACGCCGACCGACGATCCGCCGGAGGCCCAAGAGAATCACTCACGGAGTGCTCGCATATTGGCACTCAAGTGTTCCATTGATGGTGGTGGATTCTCGGCTATTTTTGAGCTACTTGCCGTGGGCAGACTTCGCGCCCATTGGCCGCATCGCCAATTCGCTCTCAAGTGAGCGCCGCACACTCATCTCCCTCTCTCCCTCTCTCTCTCTCTCTCTGTGTGCGTGTGTAAACAAAAATTAACGTTAAATTCGAGTATATATATTTGAATTGGTGCATTTGTTTAAAACTCTCCAGTGTGCGTTATTTTTGGAAGTGCACGCATCCTGTTTATTGTTTATAAAAATCTGTGTTAACTATTGTGCAATCCCTTTTGGGCTCGGATTAGCCCTTCACACACAAACACCAACACACACACACACACACACACACACACGCCTGGGTACAGTCGGAGCTGCTCTTCATTTGTTTGGTTTTAGAATGTTTTATTTGGTTTGGAAATTAGGCCGAAAATTCTTGGGCTACCAAAACACACGCGCACTTACTTCCAATTTGAAGTCAACTTAATTGTTCTCCATCAATTTCAAGCACTTCATTTGGAGCTGAAGAAAATGGGTTGGATTTTTGGAGCGTACCCTTTTATTTCCCGAACTCATCGAAAGTAGATATTTTGTATAGATTATATAGGTCTATATATGTACACTAATTTCTATATAATATGATAATATATAAAATTATATAAATAGGCTAATTTCTATATAATTTATAGGATATACATATACATATGTATGTAGGCTAATTTCCATATAATATGATAATATATAAAATATATTTACAATTTCTAATTTTCATTGTATAATATGATAATCAGCAATTAATATAATAGACAATAAGCATCTAATTAAAACGCACAAATAAATTATATTTCTGGGGACTTTAAGATAATTTTTGAATAAAATGCGTTTGTTTTTATGGAAAAAAAGATGAAAATATTAAAAATATATATTAATAATATATAAAATATATATAATATATATATATTTATTAAAAAAGTAGCCTGCTGCCATTTTTGGACTTAAAATTATTTCTTTTATATATAGTTTAGTTATACTTGAGAATGCTTTGAGAAAACCAAAACCTGTAATTTAGAGCATTATTTTAAAAAGTTTATTTGACTTTGACGCTTTTTAGTGCACTTTCGAAATCTTAAGCCAATTTTATTCAATATTTCTTGTATTGTGTAGTAGAACTGGACAAATGCAGCATATTTAACTGTTGCTGAAGAAATTACAAATAATAATAATTATTACAAGTTAATGATAATGACAAATTAAATAAATATAATAATTTCTTGCTATTATTATTTATTGAAAGCCATATATTTATATATATTTTCGGTCAGTGAAAAAAATATGGCTAAACGAAAGTTGTTTTACATTTCATAAATAAGCTACTGTTATTTATATTCGAACTATTTCTAGCCTTTAAGCCAGTTCCAAAGTGCCAAAATGCAAGCACAAAATTTACGAGCAGCAATAATAATGCTAGAAACTTGTTTAAATGTCAAGTTTTTAACTAACAGCCAATTAGCTAGCAATTATTAAGATTTTCAAGCTCATTTTCTAGAGCCTCATGTGCCAGCAATGCGTATGTGTTGTAAAATCTCATTTTGAGCACTTTTCCAGCGCCAAAGGCCGCCATTGGCCGAACGCCACATGCACAAAGGCCTCCCATTGGTCGGAGCAGCAAAATGGCTGCGCGCTCGCAGCGCCTTTCCTTGCCAGATTGAGTGAGTTGCTCTGACAGAGAGAGCGAACGAAAGAGAGAGAGAGAGAGAGAGAGTGAGGGAGAGAGCCAAACAGATGCTCTTGCTGGTTCTCCGCTACACTTCACACCTTCGGGCTATAATCTTTTTATTGCCAATTGAATGACTCTTAATGCCAAAGGCGCCGCAGTCAGTGAGAGTCAGCGCCGCGCGCTGCTTGCAACAAAAGGAGGCAACAAAAGCTTCACTTGTACCGTTATATATTGTTGTTGCGATTATTTGCGGTCAGCATTGAGTAGGTAAAGTAACCGAATTCCAAGTGAGCTCAAAGTGTCGAGGGAGGAGCAAGAGTCGAGGGGGGGGGGGGAGGGGGTTGGCTCGTTATATGTTTTCAATTGAATGCATTTCAATAATAGTCGTGTAATTAGTATAATGATGCTTGCCACGCGTTCGTCCGTTCGCCTTTGTCCCAATTTTTGATTGTGACTGTGCTGATGCGATTATCTGCAAATAGTTTATTGAGACGCCAAACAGGTATTGAATTACGTTGCAACGAATGATGAATAGACATTTTCAATTAACTGGAGTCCTTGTTTGAGTTGAGCACTCGCCACCCTGTTGGACTCAACTTCTGTTGTTTTTATGGTATTAAATTCGCTTTAATGGTTTATCAAAGAGCACTTCAATTGTTTGCTTTGCTTTGCATTAGCATTCATAGTCTTTTCGTTAGGGTATTCGGCCAGCCAGTGTTATGATATCTGATCCATATTGCTTTCGGCTGGCTTGTGATTGATTCTGGCAAGTGTTCCTTGTCGTGTTTGTGTCACGCACACAAATCTAACTACATTGATTGACTTATTGATTATCTTCTGTACATTTCATTCAGTTTATTTAAAGCGCACTTAAGCAGCAAAACTTTATGAGGGAGATTTGTTATATTATAGGAATTTTTAAAGCTTGCTTTCATTTATTGGTTAACTGAGGGAAACGTCCTAAATTATTAATATTTTCCGTTAATTTGAATATTCATATTTCGATTAGCTAGTTTACACTGCTTGCATCCACACAAAACTGCTTATGCGAATCCACAAATGCGACTGCTTTGAAGTATGTCCACTGCACTGCTTGTGTACTGCTTAGCAGCCAAGCAGTACGCTATAACTATACACGCTCCGTTAGAATTCAAAAAAATCCCACCCCCATAACTCGGTCAAATCTCATCCGATTTTCACGAGGTTTGGCCCTTTCGTCATGGTTTGGCCTCTAGATCAATTTGGCATCTAAATCTGGCAGCACTATTCTGGGTCGAAATTCATGTGAAAATCATAGTCTCAAATATCCTATATAGACATAGGTCAAAACTTCCCACCCCCATAACTCGGTCAAATCTCATCCGATTTGCACGAGGTTTGGCTCTTTCTTCATGGTTTGGCCTCTATATCAATTTGGCATCTAAATCTGGCAGCACTATTCTGTGTCGAAATTCATGTGAAAATCATACTCTCAAATATCCTATAAAGACATAGGTCAAAACTTCCCTTCCCCGTAAGTCGGTCAAATCTCATCCGATTTTCACGAGGTTTGGCTCTTTCTTCATGGTTTGGCATCTATATCAATTTGGCATCTAAATCTGACAACACTATTTTGGGTCGAAATTCATGTGAAAATCATACTCTCAAATATCCTATATAGACATAGGTCAAAACTTCCCTTCCCCGTAACTCGGTCAAATCTCATTCGATTTTCACAAGGTTTGGCTCTTTCTTCATGGTTTGGCCTCTATATCAATTTGGCATCTAAATCTGACAACACTATTCTGGGTCGAAATTCATGTGAAAATCATACTCTCAAATATCCTATATAGACATAGGTCAAAACTTCCCACCCCCATAACTCGGTCAAATCTCATCCGATTTTCACGAGGTTTGGCTCTTTCTTCATGGTTTGGCCTCTTTATCAATTTGGCATCTAAATCTGACAACACTATTCTGGGTCGAAATTCATGTGAAAATCATAGTCTCAAATATCCTATGTAGACATAGGTCAAAACTTCCCTTCCCCGTAACTCGGTAAAATCTCATTCGATTTTCACAAGGTTTGGCTCTTTCTTCATGGTTTGGCCTCTATATCAATTTGGAATCTAAATCTGACAACACTATTCTGGGTCGAAATTCATGTGAAAATCATACTCTCAAATATCCTATATAGACATAGGTCAAAACTTCCCACCCCCATAACTCGGTCAAATCTCATCCGATTTTCACAAGGTTTGGCTCTTTCTCCATGGTTTTGCCTCTAGATCAATTTGGCATCTAAATCTGGCAGCACTATTCTGGGTCAAAATTCATGTGAAAATCATACTCTCAAATATCCTATATAGACATAGGTCAAAACTTCCCTTCCCCGTAACTCGGTCAAATCTCATCCGATTTTCACAAGGTTTGGCTCTTTCTCCATGGTTTTGCCTCTAGATCAATTTGGCATCTAAATCTGACAACACTATTCTGGGTCAAAATTCATGTGATTCTGTTACCCTCAAATATCCTATATAGACATAGGTCAAAACTTCCCTTCCCCGTAACTCGGTCAAATCTCATCCGATTTTCACAAGGTTTGGCTCTTTCTCCATGGTTTGGCCTCTAGATCAATTTGGCATCTAAATCTGACAACACTATTCTGGGTCGAAATTCATGTGAAAATCATACTCTCAAATATCCTATATAGACATAGGTCAAAACTTCCCACCCTCATAACTCGGTCAAATCTCATCCGATTTTCACGAGGTTTGGCTCTTTCGTCATGGTTTGGCCTTTATATCAATTCGGCGTCCAAATCTGGCAATACTATTCTGGGTCAAAATTCAAGTGAAAATGTTACCCTATATATATCCTATATAGACATAGGACAAAACTTCCCACCCCCGTAACTCGGTCAAATCTCATCCGATTTTCACGAGGTTTGGCCTCTATATCAATTTGGCGTCTAAATCTGGCAACACTATTCTGGGTAAAAATTTAAGTGAAAATGTTACCCTATATATGTATGTATATCCTATATAGACATAGGTAAAAACTTCCCACCCCCGTAACTCAGTCAAATCTCATCCGATAAAAGCAACTAAATCATGTGATATT